AGACGGGGTGTGGGGGCAGGAGAGACGAAGGGCAAAAATCGCCGCCAAAAGGGCAGTAAAAAGGTGTATGGCCTCATTATAGCTATAAACGCTTAATTGAAAACAGTACATAAAAGTACAATATAAAATCACACTGCGCGACGGCGTCACGTAGCATTCCACGACATGTGCCCGTCCGCCCGCCCGCCGGCCCGCGCCGCCCTCCTCCCCCCGCTCGTCCGTCCGTCCGTCAATCTTGGCCAAAAACACGACCAGAGAGCCACAAAACGAATATTAATAATCATAAAAAGCATCCGCAGCCCCCTGCCGCCGCCGCTGCTGCCGCCGGCCCCGGCCGCCCTCTCACTGCCACTTCTTGTTCTCCACGCGTCTTTTCACTTCTTGTCCCTCCCCGCTTGGTCCAGGTCACCCCACCTTCCCCTCCCATATCCCATACTTTTGTCGGCGCATCGTAAACGTCCACGTGATTGACAGTCATTTCGCGGCGTGGCGTAGCGTAGCGGGGCCGAGGCGGTAGAACAATGTGCCACAAACATGTGGGAGCGAGCGAGCGAGCGAGAGAGAGATAGCTGCACGTCATCTTGTCGTAGGCACAACCAGGCACAACTACTCAAGAGGCTGTCGCCGCTGCCCCCTCCCTCCCCCGGTGCACACCGGACGCACCTGCAGCAGGCCAAAAAGCCGCCTGCCTCGCCGCCGCACCTCACCTCCTCGATCCGGCCCAATCCGCCGCGCGCAGCCGGGCACAAATTGGCCCTCCACGGCGGCGGCGACGGAGCAAGCAGAAACACAACAAGAAGCAGAAATAAAACGCCCGCTGCGACCGGAAATCCCAGGCAATCCAGTAGCCAGGCGGCCTGCTGCTGCTGCGGGCTGGCTCAAGAGCAGTGCGTTACGCCCCGAGTGTGTGAGAGCCCCGAGGCGAGCAGCGCAGAGCAGCGCCCCAATACCGATGATGAGTCTTATTGCCCTGCTCAGCTCAGCCCTGCCCCGAGGTGCTGCTGCCGAGAGCACAGCACTCCTCCTCCTCCTGCGCCCGCCTCTCTCTCCCCCGCCCCTCTTTCCCTCTCTCTTTCTCTCTCTCACGCTCTCGACCAGCCGGAGGAGCCAAGGGGCTCGGCCTGGCCTCCTGGCCGGCCAAGAAGAGCAAGCGCGCGGCAATAAAAAATAAAACAGAAAAAAAGAGAGAGATATAAAAACACGTAAAAAACAAAAGAGAGAGAAAACGCTCGCCCTAAACAAGAGGAGGGGCGGGGCGTATAACAAAATGAAGACGACAGGCGACCACCGCGGCGCGCACCTATCACTCAATGCAGTCGCGGTCACCGCCCCACCGCCGAGCCCTGTAATCGCCAGCTCGCGCCCCGTCACTCTCCATTTCTCTCTCTCTCTCTCCGCTCTGGCGGGGGTGCCAAAAAGTTGAGGCTTCTAATGAGCCACCTCCTGGCACAGAGGGCACGGCGCGAGCCAGCCAGCCAGCCAGCAGCAGCAGGGCCGTAGGCGAGGCGTGGCGTGGCGGGGCGTGGCGGCAGATGAGGAGGGCCCCTACTGGAGCCGGCCGGCCGGGGGTCCCCCCCTCAGATCCGAGAGACAAAGAAGATAATCAAGAGGACGACGACGACGAGACGGTCCTGCTGCTGTCCTTCCCTCCCACACTGAGGTGGGGGAGGGGGGGGG